ATATATGTATAAATATTGATTTATTGATGATGTGGAGCAAGTATTTAAGCAGCAAGATGCATAGAGTTTGATATGAGGCAACGTTTACGTAGCGTGATGAAAGTAGAATCACAAAAAAGAGACAAAAGAGAGAGACAAAAACAAAACATGAAACAATATAAACAAATACAAAACAACAGTACAAAGACAATTTTGATAGTATATTTAGATTTGTATACACGAAATAAATAACATGTCGCAGCATTTCCAAAAATTGTGTTGCATAGAGCCGAAAAAAAAATATTTGAGAGTAAACAAAAGAAATTTCATTGAGCATTTTGAAAGTGCATGCACAGTTATTTCTTGGAACTATTTAAGAATCAGGGTCTAGAAACTCAGACAAATAACTCACCTGCCCTTACGAGCGTTAAGTCCTTGATCGCGCGAACCCTTGAAACTGTGGAAGAGAGAGATTGACAAACAAATATTAGAAAAGTTACACTATTAGTTGGGTTGTCAGAAATCAAAATAAAGCAACAGTTTTAGCAGCAGTGTTGAAAGCCGGGTGCTGTGTGTGTGTGCGAGGTGCAGTGGTGTGGTAAGTGGCAAAGATACTAACTATTACTACATTTAGAGTTATGTCTACATATGGTATAAATTACTTTAAGAAATTATAATTTTTTTTACATATTAGCTATACAAGTATTTATAAAGAGAAGAACAATATTTGCTTTAATCTCATGTTAAATATAGATTTGTTTGGGATTCATTCTAAGCTCTTAGTATTCAATGATAAATTTATGTACTTGGTTTGTTAACGCATTATAGGACTACAAACGTATTAATATGAATTTTTATAACCCTTTGTGACTTCAGTAAAGGTACATCGAGGGTACAATGATCCAAGTTTGAAACTTGTAATTCTTTACAATTGATGATATGTAGTACTGATAGGTAGGTAGGATCTTTAAAATTTTAGCGTTACATAGATCACAGAAATAACTTAATGTTATTTGTAAGCGAATGATTGTCTGGTATTTGACTTTTAATGTTGCAATGGTTAAGCAAAATGCAGACTTTAACCAGTTGGCAATGTGAGCGTGGGTGAGAGTCAGTGTTGGTAAGCGCATTCGCCACTTGTTGATATTTTGTGTGGCTTGCAATTTATAGTGTAGAGTATAAAGTAGCAGTCAAACCTTTGACGTCGCAGCTGACCATCGGGCGACTGTTCACGCAGATCGTGACTGGAGCCACGACTACAGTTGTATATATATATTGAGTAGTTGTTGCATGGTGTACAGTATAGTTTTTTTGTATTTTGGGTAGACGATAGGCAAGAGTTTGTGTGCAAAACGTTGCAGGGGAAAATATTTTATATTTGTAGCAGTAAAATTGGTGAAAAATTGCAATAAAAAATAAAATAACAAATCAAAATAAACTTTTCGTATATACAGAAAATAAAGGGTAATTTTATAACACTTACACTGGCGTTTTGCCGCTACGTGAAGGCTTGCGAGCGCCAGGTGGCAATTGACGTGGCTTGCAGGCGCGATCTACTTCGTTCTGGCGCCGTGCCGTATTCTCCATAAATTCTTTGTGATCCTCAATCAATTTCTCCACAGGCGGTATCTCATCTGGCAGTTGTTCATGTTTTAGATCTGTAGGAATGTAAAAAAGCATTAAGTATCGACCGTATAGGAACTAATCTGATTAACTTACTCAATAACGTGCCCTCAAGTCCGCTGAGCCAAGCCAGCAGTTCTTCAATGTTATCATCCAAATCCTTGAGAGATTGCAAATGCTGCTCTAGTTTCGACTCACGGTTGATGGCCCATTGACGTACCTCCTCCCAGCGTTGCTGAATGATCGATAACCAGTTCTTAATAATGGGTATGGCATCGGGATAGGCTTTGCCAATGATCACCTCCGCATACTCAAACGTTTCCGTCTTCTCACGTTCGCGCACGCGCAAATCTCGCATGAACTCCGTATGAATCTCCATCATCTCACGTGAGACCTTCTCATCATCAGGAGCATTCTTGGCATAGCGTAGCTTATGCTCCGCATGATCTAGCCAATCGAACAGAGCTTGGACACTTGCGTTCAGTTTCTCAGCATCCACCAAAGCAACTTGGAGTCTCTCTCCGCGCTTGCCCACAGCATTTTGAACCTCCTCCCAAATAGATTGCAGCTCGTCGAGCTTTCCACCCACTTCGGGATTATTGCCCGACCGCTCCAGATCTCGACCAGTCTTAAGCACGCCTTGCATTTGACCAGCCCGCTTCTGAAGATCCTGTTCAATGTGTTTGTGATGCTCGCACAAGCCTTGTACCGTCTCCAAATCACCATGCACTGGTCCATTCTCATTGACGCGACTCTTGGCTTTCTTAAGCCAATCGAGCAGCTCTCCCAGAGCATCGCTAAATTGTCCAGAAAGTAGCAAGGCCTCCTCCAGTTTGCGTTGACGTTCAATGCTCTTCGTCCAGACCCGTGTCCATTGCTCCTTCAGTTCCAGCAACATTTTATCAAGCACTGGGCGATCGCCCTTCGGTGCACGTTCCATGAGGTTCTTGCCAGTACGCATTGTTCCATCGTATACGGACTGCTTGGCGCCCAGCTGGCGATGGGTCTCCTTTAGCTTACCAATGTATTTCTTAATCTTCTGTGGCTCCTTCGAAGCGGTGGCTTCTTCGATAATTTGATCCAGCACTTGCTCAGTTTCCTGCAGATACTGCATCATACCATTCCAGGCATCATTGAACTCACGTGCCTCTTTGTAACCATGATCCAGAGCACGTGTGCGCTCTGCAGCCTTACTGACTACGCGCTCCCAGCGATGCTGTACTGAGACCAGCAAATTCTTAATAAGAATCACATCTTGCTTCTGGCTGAAGTATTTGAGATGAGTGCCCTTCTTATCCAGCAGCAGCATGGCCTCCCGATGTGTGCTCACATCCTTTTGGAGTACCTTATGTTCCTCCATCTGGGCCTGAATGGTTTCCAACACACGCGAGACGGGCTCAGCATTGGTCAACTGTTTCTCTGCCTGGGTTAACCATTCAACAAAAGCTTGAAGTGTCTCATGGAATTCGGTAGCCTCCTTGAGTGCAATTTCCAACTTAATCTTCTTGTCGGATGCACGCGAAACAACTGCATCCCAGCGCTGTTTCAGTGTGCGCAGTGTATGCTGTAGGTTGCTAGAAGAAACCTTCATCTGGTTCTGGCGCTTAATGTATTCTTGACCCTGAGCTTGTATTGTTTCTACTTTAGGCCTGTTCTCCTCCAGCTCATTATAGACTTCCATGAAACGTTCCAGCTGTTCGGTGGCTGTCTCTGGCAAGCCTCCTACAGGCTTACTGGCACCAATCACGGCATCTACATCACCTAACCAGCCCAAAATGTCCTGAACCTCAGCAATGTAGCCTTGAGCCTCGCGTAGAGACTCCTCTAGCTCGTGCTGGCGATCGCTAGCCTTTTGCAACAGCTGCTTCCATTCGTTGTTCAGCTTACGCAGTTTCTCCTGCGTAGTGGAGGCTTCCACAGAACCCTTTTCAGTTTCAATCAGTTGCCTTCCGGCATCATTGAGAGTATCAACTGAGTTCTGATGCGCTTGTATATCGTTTGCCAACACTTTAAGCTTGGCCAACTCAACCTCGAGCAGTTGGGGATCACCGGGTATCTACATGAAAAACCAATTAGATAATGCTTACTAGAAGCTACAACGTGGCTCTCTTACCGGTTTCAACTGATCCAATGTGTTGTCTGTCTTGTTAATCCAAACCAATAGCTCATTGAGAGCATGTTGGAATTGACCCAAGTGGAGCAGAGCATGCTCCAACTGCTTTTGGCGCTCGACCATTCCACGCAGCAAAGCCTCCCACCGGCGATTGACCACGGTCAGAGGTTCCCTTATTGATGCCGCCTGCTCTGGCGAAGTGCGTTCCGTCAGTTCCACAGCTTGTCTGTAAGTGGTTAGCAGAAAATTAGCATTGTTTAATTAAAACGGATGATTCAAAGGCAGACAGAACAACGATAATAATAATAATAACTTGAGCTTTGTCAGTGCACATGCATTGGTAATGGAACCGTTGGTTCCGGTGGCTTTATGTCATAAATCATAAAAACACATGCATAAAGCAATTGTGAAATAACAAATCTGAGATCTTTGATAACAAATCAAAGAATATAGATTTGCGATCACAATTCAAATATCACCAATCGAAGATTTCAGATCGCAAATTATGGATCTAAGATCATAAATATTGCAGTACAAGAAATATTCTTGATTATAGATCACAGATCGTTGATCACTGATTGGCGATTGCAGATAAGATGCACAGGCACTTAAATTTACACAGTAACAGCGAACGAACTATAAAGAACGTACGAAATTTTGAAACTATCTTGCCTTTCGAGACCTCTGCCAATTGTACGATTGTAGGTAGACCACACAAATACGTCGTTGATTTATCATTATTACAGATTATAAGATATGAGAATTGAACTAAAATTAATTTTAAGAAATTCAAAACTTACCTGTTTAATGCTTCTACTTCGACCATATGCGGATCGACTTCGTCCTTGAACGCCTTGAGTTGTTCAATCTGTCGCTTGACAGCATCAATATCGGAGCCTACAGCACCCAAATGAGCAAACTTATCCTCGGCCTTAGTCAGGAACTTGAGTAAATTCTGCAGTGTCTCATGGAATTCCATAGCCTTCTCCATAGCATCGATGAGGTTTTCTTCGCGTTTAGCATACAGGGCTGTGATATTATCCCAGGCGTTATCTAAGTCTTCGATGTGCTTCTTCACCTCTGGCTTATCGGGCTCGCCGCACATGTTCATCAAGTTGCTGCCATGTCGGCGCACTTGCTCTACTTCTGGCTTAGTCTGATCGATTTCGTGACGTATTTCCTGCAGTGCCACCTGTTGCTTCTTGATGTCTTGCGGTTGTGCCGCTGGTGGCTCCTGGCATGAGAGCGTCTCCTCTAGATCCTTAAGAGTCTTCATTACGCTGTTCAACTGCTTCCAGAAGGGCTCCGCAACACTCAGTATGTCATCGAGGGAGCTGCCACGTTTCTTAGTGGCCTTCTGGACATCATTCCACAGATTGTTTAGTTTCTCTAGTTTCGCTTTGATGTCGCGCACAGCGGGATCAGCTTTGTTGCCAGCCTTGGCAATGACATCGTTGGCAGCTCGTTGTACAGCGCTAAATGCATCCTGACGCTTATCTAGATCATCCATTAGAGCATCATTGTCTTCGATTTGCTCACGAATCTTCTGTGGCAGTGCTGAGAGTGGGTCCAATTGATTCACCTGATCCACCGTGTTGGCAAGAGCACGTAACATGCCTTCAAGCTTATCGGAGAACTGGCTCGACTCCTGCAGGGCACTTTCCAGTGCCTGTTGACGTTCGCGTAGTTCCAGACGCAAAGCCGCATAGCGAGCATTGTCCGTGTCGAGGATTTCATTGATCTTGGCACTATCTTCTTCGGCGACCAACGCGCCCAGAGCTTCGCCAGTTTTGTTCAGCTTATCGAGCAGTGGTTTATGCTCGGCTATGGAGTGTAACAGACGCTCGTTCTTGTCTTGCTGCAATGTGATCTGGTCGGGACGCAGAGCTGGCATGCTCAGGCGTGAGATTTGCTGTTCCATATCATCCAGCCAGGTGGTCAGACCCGAATGAGAATCAGCAAAGTGCTCTGAAAGTGGCAAAGCTTGTTCTAAGATGCCCAGACGTTCGCTACACAGCTGTGCAACTGTGTCAACAATCTCCTTTAGATCATCCAACTTCTCACGAAGTGTTGCCGTATTCTCACTTTGTGGCGATTCTCGTAGAACCTTCTTGGAAGCGGCGGTGACATCACGCACACGTCCTTTCTGACTGGATATGTCATCATTGATCGATCGATGTTCTTGTAATTGAGCGCGCACCAATTTAGGTTCCATAGCTGGCAGATCGGCCTCACGCAATGTGGTGTCCATGTCACGGAACCACTCCAACAGCTCATCAATATCACCGGTTACCTCCTTGGCTCGCTGATTGCTTAGATGCAGGCGTTCTGCCTTACGTTGAATCTGCTCTACGATGGCATCGAAGCGACGATTATCTCGGGTAACAATGCTCTCTATAGTAGCGGCACCTTCTCCCGGCGACAATTGGCACAGCTGTGGTCCAACCAAATTGATGGTGTCCAGCATGGGACGCATATCGGAAAGCTCAGTCTCTAGACGCAACACATCAGCTTGACGTGGCTCACTAGGTGCTAAAGCTGCCTCGGCGCTCTGCATCCATTCGACCAAACGATTGTGGGCGTCATGGAACTGCTGCACCAATGGCAAAGCATTTTGAGCGTTCTTGAGCAGATCACCACCACGATTTGTCAAATCACCATAGCGACGTTGCAGAGAGTCCAACTTATCCTTAAGTTGTATGGCTTCATCGTTGGAAATGTGCTTCATAAGCTCTGCGCCGGATTCAACAGTCGACTCCACATTATTTGCGTGCCCTGCAATGTTCTCGTTTAATTCTATCAGATGGTCCATTTGTTCCAACAGCTTTTCGGCATACACAGGCACAGACTTGAAACGCTTTAGCTCATTCTCCATGCTTTCCATCCAGGCAACCAAGTCCTGATAGCTCAAAACCAGATGGCGCAATCCTTGACGGGATTCGGCAAGCAATGCACCAATATTTTCGCTGGCATCTACCAAACCTGTATATCGTTCGGTTACACCACGAACCTTTTCTCCCAGATTCACGGCCTCCTCGTCACTGACTAAGTGCATCAGCTGAGCAGCTACATCTGCGAGATCCGTAAAGTCAGGTTTCTTACTCAAAATCTCGTCGTGAAGACGATCATGCTCCCGAATGCGTTGCTGTATTTTTTCCTCATCAGTGGGTATCAGTTCCATGGCCTTAACTGCACGCTCCGTATTATCTAGCCATAATTCCAGTGGGCTAATCTTGTCATGGAAGCGCTTCGCCACTTCCATGGCCTCTTCCAGATCCTGTTCACGCTGTTCGGCACCATCAGTCAATGCATCGAATCGCTTCATCAGATCATTAAGCTGCTTCTCAATAGAAGCGCGCTCAGCGGGTTCGCAATGATTAGCCACCTCTTTGCCGAGGTTGGCCAATGAACCCATAGAGTTCTGACGATCCAACAACATTTTCTTGAGGAACTTTTGTTCCTGTAGCTGCGCCTTGACAACTTTGTAGTCACAACTTGGTGGCTTCTGGTTAGCAACCATTTCTTCGGTGTCGCTCAACCATTTAGACAGACCTGCTAGCGCTTCCTTGAACTTGCCAGATTGTAAGAGAGCCACATCCAAACGACGATCGCGTTCGTTCATACGCTCCTTCAAGTCGTTCCACCGGTCATTAAGCTTCTCCAAATCTTTCTCAACGGTAGTCGTAGAAACCCCACTGCCTGCCGAACGTACCAGATCACGTCCGGCCATGTTGACTTTGTCTACATTTTGAGCCAGTGGTTCAACCTTCCGCTCTCGGAAGTTGCGGAAGTCCTCTTGCTGGCGTCTGATCTGATCCAGCTCGGAACCCACGGGCTTCATGCGTTTGAATTCCTCACTCACATCCTGGATATCATCCAGCGCTTGTGACTGCATATCATAGAAATCTTGCAAAGCTTTAAGTGTTCTCTGTAGATTATCTTCATGATCACGCACACGATTATCAAGACGACCGAGGGTCTTGCGCAAGGTAGAGATTTGCTCGCGAGTCTGGGTAGTATCCGCAGAAAATCCGGCGTCTACAAGAACATCAGCGGCACGCTCGGCATCCTCCAAACGACCAACTAGACGATCAAGTTTATTCTGAAGCTTGCCCACATCATCTATTTGCTGTTGCACAATCTTAATTTCACGTGCAGGTGGCGAAAGCTTCTCAACCTCAGCTTCCAGATCATTCAGGTCAATACCCAGGCTCTTCATCTGCTCGTTGAACTGGGACACAGCAGTTGCTGCCGATTGTAGCTCACCACAGCGATCATCTAAACGGCCTTGCAATTCGGATATGCGATCAGCTAATCCATCAACCTCACTGGTCAAATGATCAGCATCACCGCCAGCGGCGCGTGCCTCGGCACTAATATCCTTTGCCATCGCCTTGAGTGATTGCAGTGGTTTACTTAGATTCGTCAACTCTTCGCGAATAGCTTTGACGCGTTCGAGTAGCTTGGGGTCTTTCGCCGCTCCGCCCAGGGCATCATGTGCGGCCAGTCGATCCTCACAGCGACCCAATGAATGATCCAGGTTGCGGAGTTCATCATTGAAGTCACCTAAGCGCCGCGAGCAGTTCTCAATCTCGTGAGCGCGTGCAATCAAATCATTATTCAAGCGCTCCCAACGATCGCGTATATCTTGTAACTCAGCCTTGATTGGTTCCTTGTCAATGTCACAACTGCTGAGGAATGTTTCACCCAGACCTTTGGTATTTTCAAACTCTCCCGAATGTTTCCAAACCTCGCTACGGAACGTTTGCAGATCACGCAGACGAGTTTCCAATTTTGATTTGGATAGCACGCCAGGGGTTAGATCCGCCAATTTATCCTCTGCGGTACGTAGCCAGGCAAGGAAGGTCTCTGAGGTCTGAGAGTATTTCTTACAATGCTCCATGCAGGTCTGCAGTCGCGTGTGACGATCGACTGCCTCACGACGCAGTTTCTCCCATTGCTGTTGTATGCGATCCAAATCCCGTTTCACGCTACGATCCTGTTGTCGGTCGGACAGATCCTTGCCCTTATTGATCAACATTATGACTTCATGCTCACGCGCCATAACTTCTCGATAGATGGGCTCGTGCGTGTCTATCTGGTGTTGCAGTGTTGGCTTATGGGCGGATACCAGCAGACGATCGGTCAAATTGGACAACTCGCCGGATAGCCAGCCGAGCGTCTTCGAACAGTTCTCAGCAAAGTGACGACCATCACGCAGAGAAGCCTCTGTTTCAGCCTTCTTCGTATCCAATTTCTTTTGCAACGCCAGATATTGTTTCTCCAGTGCTGCCACACGTGAGTTGACATCAGCGCGTGAGGCTGGGTCGCCGAGAATGTTGCATAATGTAGCCGCGGATTGTTCTACGTCAGCTAAGAGTGGACGCTGGCCCTCGAGTTGTCGTTCAAGATTTTCGATCTTGCGTAGATTCTCTTGGTGATCGCCTTCGGTTGGCAGAGCATCCAGATTATCGCTAATGCCTTGCAAAGCTTCACGCAGCCGATTGACTGCCGCATCAAACTCCTTTGAGCTATCGGCAGCACCGCCCAGGCTATTAGCGCGGTCATCCAGCTTACCCATTAGATCATCCCATTTGGTAATCACATCCTTGAGCTTAATCTCAACTGCTTGTGCATCGGGTGTGCCGGCTAAATGATCGACAACATCGTGTCCAAGTTCCTGCAAGTGTTTTAGCTGTGGCTGTTGTGTGCGGAACTCTTCGCGCAATACTTGCACCTGTTGCACTTGGCTCTGAACCATGCGCGGATCCGAGGAAATCGGTCCCAGCACAGTAAGCATGCGCTCTTTGCTATCTAGCCAGCTCTTGAGATTGCCATGGGTGTCCAGGAAGTCGCGCAGCTTCTCAGAGAAAGCAATGCGATTCTTGCAGATGTCATTGAGATTCTTCCACTTTTCTTGTATATTGTCGTTCTCCACACGTAATTGCTCAGCGCCAGGCACATCCGACTTGCGTCGCAGAATGTCTTTAATTTGTGCCTTTGTTGTGTCAAGCAAGCTCTGCTTTTCGTACATATCCTCAAGGATTTTGCGCGCTTGTTTAATGCAGCGATCGGCTTCGTCTTTATTGGACACCGATTCCTTAGGTACCTGGCGTTGAATACGTTCCAAGAACTGCGCCAATCCTTTGAGATTTTCGTACTGCTTGCGCAACTCTTCACTTAGATTATCAAGCTCATGCTGACGATCATTTAGACGAACTCCAATCAAACCATAGCGATTGTTAATCTCGCTCAACTGTTGCTGCACCGGAGACAGCTCAGAGAGCTGGAAGCCATCCTGAGAGGATCTGCGGCTACCGAATCCACTGGAACCAGTCGATAGTGGCGACAGTATGCCTCCCTTGGTCGGGCTGGGGCTTCTGGCGTCTCCAGACATGCGACGCAGCGGACTTGTTCTCTTAATAGGACTGTATGTTGAGCGTTTACGTGAGGGACTCTCGGGCCTAACAAGTGCATCATATTGGGAGCCAATATCATTAATCTTGTCAATAGTTGGCGCATAGTCACGATAGTCCTTGCAGATAGGCTTCAACTCATCATTCTGTTGGCGTATCTTGTCCAGATCGATGGCTACAGGTGCAAGAGCATTGACGCGTCCTTCTGTGCTGGTTAGCCAAGATAAAACCTCGTCCTTAAGGCTCTCGTATGCTTGACGACGTTCAGCTTTCTGCTTCGATAGTTTGGCGCGCTCATCTATGCTGATGTTGACGTTGCGCCACTGAGATTCCAAAGCCTTGATACGATCACGCAAAGCGCCCGTATCGGTCACATCGCGCAATCCAATTAGCTCCTTGCCATTACGTACACAATCCTCAAACTGTGGCGCCAGCTGGTCTTTTTCACGGGCCAAGTCGAGCATGCGACGCGCTACCTCCTCCGTGGCAAGCAAACTGGTCTCGCGGCTGTCAAGGGCCTCCTGCAAGCTACCCATGCGCTGTTCCACGGTGCTAATATCATCCAGGTACTTAGAGAGACGACTGTATACATCATCCAGGAATTCCCCACGCTTATTAGCCTTATCATACAGTTTTTCAAACTTGCCAGTTACATCGTTCAAATTTGACTCCACCTTCTTGGCTATACGTGCATTGGATGCACTGGCCAGCAGATGCTTGGCAGAGATTTGAACGCTATCGATGCTAGCTTGATGCGACTGCAAATCAGCTAAAAGTACTTTGTGTTCGCGTATTTGTTCCTGTAGACGTTCCTTGATAAGCGAAGCGGGACGCAAGTTCAATTTGAACTTATCCTCGGCTTGATTTACCCAGCCCACTAGGCTGTCGAGGGCATCTTGCACGCCTTGCGATTGTACCAGAGTCTTATCCAAGGTCTTGCAGTGGTTTCCAAGCGTATCCAAAAGCTGTTGATAGTTGTTCTTCAAATCAGCGATAGGCAATTCCAATTGATTGATTTCCATGGGACTGAGTTGACCGCCCAAACTGCGTAGAAGATTATCTAAAGCTTGCTGAGCATTGTCCACCAAACGACCGCTAGACAGAAGCTCATTGTGTAATGCCTTGGCTTCATTCATCTGATCTTGCACGCCCTTGGGATCTCCAGCGACAGGTTCAGATATAACACGCGAAACACGTGGTTGTACGCTACGTAGCCATTCATTGGCTTTATCCAAGGCATCCTGGTACTCACGCTGCCGACCACCCAAGCCCGAGACACGGTCTTGCAGGGCATTGACACGGTTCAGTAGATCCTTGTACTGTGCTGACACCAACGAAACTTCCTGGCGTATGGGACTCTCCGCGCTAGACAATGGCTCCACGTGTGGCAGCCTCTCTGGCAGTGAGGTGCGGAAGTCGTTAAGCACAGCTAAGAACTCCTTGCTCTCATCGACAAACTTTTGCGCGGCCATGGTAATAAAACGTAGGTCCGCCTGGTGGCCAATCACATCGCTGACAAACTCACGAATAGTGTCTGCCTGCGAAGCGAGTCGCGTGAGGTCTGATAGCGAGCGTTCCTTATCCTCGAGTGTGCGACGTGCCAGCTGCAGCCAGTCGGAAAAGATATCTAACTCGCTCCGCAGCTTCGTTAGCTCATCTCGCCCAGCCTCAAGGCGACGCAGTAGACGAAGTGTACGATCATTAACACGATCTACGCGTGAACGCAATTCACGACCAGAGTTCTCCAGAGTGGTGACCTCTGGTGCGGAGAGCACATCACCACCAGTGAGAACAATTTGACGTATTTGTTCCAGGCAGGTGGCTACAGGACGCTGCTGCGATTCGATTTCATCCTTGATTTGCTATGAAAATGAAATGGATAAGATTTTAATGGACATTTTATAGACCAACTACATTTTTTTTAGAAAAACTAAAATAGTAATATTAGTTTGTTAAGTTATAGACTTATTACCTTGAGCGCATTGATTTGATTCCGTAGCTCATCGATTTTCTCTCGTGGTCCACCAACGCTTGAGATTTTCTGTTCGACTGAGGTGACCCATTTCAGCAGATCGTTTACATTCTCCTCACACATGTTGAACTTCTCGAATACTGCTTGCTATATACACAAATTTTATGTTTGACAATGATGGTAAAAGAGACAATAATTAGTAAAGTTTTAGATGAAAAACATTACTTAACCAGTTACAGGTTCATACTTAAATATTTCATATTTGGGGTAAAATATATATGTTGAGAGATCGTAAATGAAAATATTTAAAAGAATTTTGTATACAAATAGTACATAATCGAAAGGCATAACATATGTAACACAAAATATATATAGAGGACACACAAACGTACAATTGCTGAAAAATAAATAACTTAAGCGGCAGTAAAAGCAAGAGTTTTTTAAAGCATTTTATAGGCCAGGCGAGAGTTATGATAAGTTAGGCTTGCAAGCATTTTATAGTACAAGAAACATAACAAATATAAATAATTGTTAAAGGACGCACAAAATAACACCAAGGTTTACTACTAGGCACTACTAAATAATTAACGAGCACTACTTTTGAACTGGGAAAACTACAAGTTTTATACTTTTTAGTATGGGAAACTAACTACGTTTTAACGGGGTTTTTCTTTTTGTTGTTGTTCAGTAATTATTGTTTAGGATTAGTGTTAAAATTTGGGTTTATATTATTATTATTATTTAATTTTTTTTTTTTTTTTTTTAATGTTGATTGAGCAAACTCAATAAATTAAAACTGCAAACGAAATAATATAAGAATAATTGTATGTATAAAATGCTGAAAATAGGTAGAAAATCGATATTTAAAATATATGCATATAACAAATAAATACTAAAAAATGGTAACTAATTTGAGTAAATTAAGAGCAAGTTATGATTAGCAGACGAACTACATGTACTAGGTCTTATAGCATCTGTAATCGGACCAAACTGTAACGTTAACTAACTTTTGAAGGGCAAATATACTTTTAATGTATATATAAATTCCAGATACACTGAACCTTAGTTAAAAAAAAAAAAAAGAAACTAAAGAAATTATTAAAAGTGTACAAAAATGTTAGGATACGAAAATGGAAGATTAATTAAGAATAGATTCTAATAGGATTGATTGAGTAGGAATACCATAGAAATTTACAAAGACTCTATAGCGTTACAGTTTGGTATGGTTAGGAATGAACCTCAATAAAATTCTGCCTAGTTGGAACTTACGAAAACTAAGAATACAAAATATATTTGTTTGTAAATGTATATGTGTATGTATATGTTTTGTGTTATCGATAGATATGTATGTATAGTTATATGATAGAAAGAGATTATAAATAAATTATTGCCGACGTCATTCGTGCTGAGTAGTTATGGAGAGTAATGGAGACGCGCGTTGCGTTGCGTTGCCAGATCAAGCAATTTGATGATTGATTTTAATATTGTCTGATATGATAACAACCGATCTGTGGTGTAATTATGTTGTATGTAGTAGTTGCTGATATACATATTTCTTGCTGCATTCATAACTTGAAAAACTTTTAAAAGCAAGTTCAGCAAACTGAGTTGGTTCATTTTTAAAAAGTTATGCGATAGATTTGATTTAATTGATGTTTTGTGAACGAGAACATATAAAATTCAATGCCATGCGCTGCAATATAAGAAAATTTTTGTCCATTTTTCAGGACAAGCAAAATAAAATAATAATATAATCATAAATATGATTAGCAAAGAAAAATTTTTTAATTTTCATTTTAGATAAGCAGACAGCTGTTAGTTAGTCCGATGATAGAAAGAAGAAAGTAAATAGCGCTATGATCGAAAAGAATGTAACGAAAATTTGAAAAAATTATGAATATTATATAAAGTTATATATATATAATATACCAAAAAGAAACATGCCACGAACTGTAAAATTTTTTGTAGTGATTTTTCGAATTTGATTTATAATTATTTTCTTTTTTTTTAGGTGGAAAGTAATAAAAGACCCTTTTAGTACACATAGACACAAGTGTAGAATAACTCTGTCAAACTTACCCTCTGTTCGGCTGGCAGCAGTAAACCCTTCTCGGTGGCTTTCACTAAATCAATGTTATTTTTGGGTTCGTTGGCATCGTTCAAACGACCTTCAGTAGCATCAATCAAGCCACTGCTTATTGCAGCGGCCAGTGGTAAGATGACACCAGAGCTAGGATCACGTACCACCGTTGAGGAGGGATCAATTAAGCCGGAACTAATGGACTCGGCCAATGTATACTTCTTACGCTTGATGATATCGGGATGCATTTGGAAGGGGTCAACTAGACAGCCATTTGTTGGATTGTACAGGTTAAATGTGATGGCTTCTAGCAAACCAAATGAACGCTTGGGTGTACAAATCAAGCCACTCTCATAGGCCTCTTGCAATGTGCATAATTTTGAGGTTTGGGTATTTAATACGTTCGCCTTGTTGGCATCCATCAGACCTTTGCGGAAGGCCTCTGGTAAACGCACGAGTTTCGCCTTGGCCAGATCTTTGACCAACGCTGAATCGGGATCAATTATGCCAGTGCCTGCGGCATCCTTAAGCGTGTATATCTTGGGCGACGTTTCGATGACAGTTAGTGAATCGCTTGCGCTGTCATCGCTGATGGGAATTATTGGTTGATAAGTTAGCATACCGGTTTGAAGATCCAAGCACTTGGATTCAGCCGCCTGATCGAATGTGACGGGTTCCCGTACATAGATCAACAGCGTGGGATCAAATGCAAAGTACAAGGCTTTAGGATCAACGAGCGTGCGCTTAGTAACATCTACAAGACCGCGTTCCTTGGCCAAAGCATATGGCAGGAATTTAAAGTTATCAAAATCGCGTACGAGCGCAGTTTTTGGATCGATTATATTGTACTTGATGGCTTCCTCAAGTGACATTTCGCGAGGTTTGCTAATAACAACGCTTACGGGGGTTTGACTTAAAAGTTCAACGCTATCTTGACGGCGTACGATTTCGCTGCGATCAGTAAGAGGACGCGGTATGGTCACTAGTATGCCACGCGAGAAGGCTACATCGTAATTGTATGTAGATTTTGATTTCGGATCAAAAACGCGTCCCTTAGTTACATCTATGTCACTATTTTCTATAGCTACGGTTAGCGGTACTTCCTTGCCTGTTAGCTGATTTTTAAAAGCTGTACTAGTGGGATCTATAAAACCCAAATGTATAGCTTCAATTAAATCAAGATAATCGCCCGTGGTAGGATCACAGAACTTCCCTGTTTCGGATCGGTAAAGCTGCATACGAAGAACCATTTCGAGACTCAGTAGACGACGGTTAGAGACAATTAACCCACGTGCCCTTGCTGTCTGCAAATCTAGCTGTTCATTTCCCAGATTATAACAACCGTTGCTATCATCAATGAGCTGCTCCTTAATAGCATTCGCTAGACGCATATACTTGCCAGACTCATTATGCTTAACTAAACTGGAAGATAGACTGACAACATCCTCAACACAGGCTTCATTTAGATTCAGTTTTCGATTGGTGACTGGGTGTAAAACTTGACGTGTGTTCACATCATAAAAGCCCATAGCTAAGAGCTCGTACAGCCCAAAGCCAGCATTTTCTATATCCACAATCAAACCCAAGTTCATGGCCTCACCAAGAGGCACAAAGCTGGTGCTGCCTGGTTCTTTAAAGACACCCTCCCTTCTATTAATGATGCCATTGCGACAAGTCTCACTGAGACTAAGCATTTGCTCCGACTGCTCATCAAAATAGCAAGGCAGCTGTGGATTAATGACAAAGCTTCGCATGCCCTCCAATAAAGTAATTTTACGTCCAGTCTTGGGGTCAGTCAATTTTCCAGTTTTATCGTCAAAAAGACCTTGATGAATAGCACGCTGTACACTTATAGGAGCATTAACATCCATAAGAATGCCAATATTAAAGGCATGTTTTATGGTCACTGACTGGTTGTTATAAAGTAGTTTAGCATTTTGGGGATCTATGAGACCTGTGTCCTTGGCATGTGTCAAATTGAGCTGTTTATACAAACCAGTCTTGAAATCTCGGATCTGCACGCTATGTTCGTCTATTAAATAGGTGTCTAATGCCTTGGCAAAGTTCAGTTTTTCACCAGACTTGGGATCGATAAAGTGACCATCGGTTTCATCGTAAATATTTTTTACAACTGCCTCTATGAGACGCAAGGGTTTCTTAGCCTCCACAAGCACACCTTTATCGAAGGCTTCCTTAAAATCAATATGCTGATCGTTTGCATCCCTAACCGTACCTTGTTGACTATCCACAATGCCTGTTTCGGTGGCTACACCGAATGGCAAAACTTGACCACAAACATTGACGACCGTCGAATCGGGATCGAGAATACCCCTACGAATGGCACGTTCAGTTGTCAGTTTCTCACGCGTGATCGTATTGCTAAACTGGCCGGTCTTTGGATCGTATAAACCTCTGTAAACTGCATCAGGCAGGCTGCGTTTTCGCTTTGGCGGTATAAGAATACGGTTTTCGAGAGCTTCGTTCAGAGAGAGCTTTGTTGAAGCGTACGGATTAATAACAAATCCACCAACTGGATCTAGATAGCCCTTCGTAATTGCTTCATTCAGAGAAATAATTGATTCTGTTTTGGGATCCAGTAGCACCAACTCTTCGGGATTGATGAGTTTTTGTGCAATGGCTGTCTTTAAGTCGACCTCTTTTCCGTCAATATTGAATTTGGCTGTCAAAGGATCGTAAAGACCACGCAGCAAACAATCGACAAGGGACCAAGGTTTCTTAGTACTTATCAAATAGCCTTTGACGAAGGCTTCGTCTAAGCTAATATTTGGCGAACTAAGAGTGCCACGTACGGTATCCAGAAGACCTACTTTTGCAGCTTCCTTCCCCGGCACAATTTTGTCATTCTCGGTATCCTTAACTAAAGTCGAATCCAACTCAACAAAGCCCATTTCAATAGCCTGCTGTAGCAGAATATCTTCACCTGTAACCGGATTCAGTACCTTACCCGTGCTGGGTGTATAATATTCGCGCTGCAGCACCTCGGGTAGGCTCCAGGTAACGTTATCGGTCTTTACCAAACGCTGCTCAACACCGACATCAAACGGCACAAGAGTATTATTCTTGTTATCCTTAATTTGACCCGTTGTGAGCACCAGCTCATCCTCAATAGCGCAGTCGAGCTTCAACTCCTTCTTGGTGACTGTATCCACAATCAGCGAAATCTTAGGATCAACCAAGCCAATTTCTATGGACTTTTGTACATCTACCTGATTTTGGGACTCGCTATCGTAGAGCTTGCCAGTCTCTGGATCATAAAGACCTTTGCGAACAGCTGCTTCTAGGGAAATAGGCTTACGTGCGCCGGGCACTAAGAAGCCCATCTGCAAAGCAAGCTCCATTGGTATTTCCTTCAATGTCTGTATATCTATGACCGTACCAGCCTGCATATCAACCACACCCAACTCAATTGCCATACGCAATGGGATTACCTCACCGCTAACAGGGTCGCGCACCGATATCGACTGTATGTCGAGTTTGCCACTGTTGATAGCATCAACAATGGAACAAACTTGACCATCGTCAAGCACCACTTTGCCTGACCGGTGATCTATTGTAACATTCTCAATGGCTGCAGGTCTCTGCTCTTCCGGATTGGCACTTATTATCCACTTACGTTCAATACACTCAAAAAATGGTATTTTCTTGCCTGTCTTGGGGTCGACCATATGACCAGTATGTTTGTCCATCAACGGACGTTCAAGTGCAACTGCTAGTGTTTCATATTTCCCTTTACTAAAGTTCTTTACTAAAATTCTATCAGGATGAAAGATATTCATATCAAACACTAGTGTTTGGAAAGAAATTTTCTGACCAGTAGAGGGATCTATGAAGCATTGAAGGTTTGTGTCGTAAATGTTCAAGTTACTGAAATTCTCAAGCGTCAATTCGGTATCCACATCCACCAGATAGTTTACACGGTTGACAACTATCAATGTATCGTCTATGATCTGCAGCTCATCCAAAGGACTAAGTTGTTCGTCTTTGAGCAATGTGGATACACTTTCTGATCGTTCCTCACCATCGAGTATGACTCTGCACTCCTCGGGACTGATTAAGTTCTGTGATATAGCATCACCTATGACCAACGTCGTAGGTACTTCACGGTTCCCTGTGTGCTCCAATGTGGTGACTGCAGTTTCCACTGTATCGAGTGCTTCATCATCGGGTGTTGGTTCTACAGTGCTACTACATGTTGTAGTATGTGTTGTTGTTATTTTTGTGACAATTGTTGTACTACTTGAAGAGCTATCAGGTTCGATTCCCATTTGTTGAGGCTCCTGTGTTGGTATATTACTCTTATCTGTAGTTAACGCATCAACCAGAGCTTTACCTGCCAGGATGGGCGCTCCTACTATAGCTAGTGCGCCTAATTTGGCTGCATCTTTGACATTCTGCATTATTTTGTTGCCACTTTCTCCAGTAGGTTGCTGTTCTTGTTCATGTTGTATGAAATCCACAACAGTTTGATGCTTTTCTGCCAAATCTTCAGGTTTCTTGATATTCTCCGGAGCTCTAGGTTTTTGTTGCTGATCATCTGTTACCGAAATTACTGTGGTTATTGTTTCCGTTGTGCGTGTAGTTGCAATTGTTGGTTCTTGACTTAAATCTTTAGGTTTCTCTGTCGCCTCTGTTGCCACGGTGACCACTGTTTCCTTGGTGGAAGAGACACTTACAGCAGGTTCTTTACGAGTTGAGTCAACCTCCTTGGGTTGTTCCTTTGAGTCAGCCACAGCCACGGGTACAACTGGCTCATCATTAGACAACTTATTTATCTCTTCTGTTACACTGACAACTTTCGCTGGTTTCTGCTCTTCAGTTGTGGTTGTTATCGTCGTAGTGGCAGTTGTAGTGGTTGTAGACTCACTGATGGTAGGTTCCTCGACAGACACAACTCGCTTCTCCACCAAAACATTGAAAGATTCAATTGGTTGCGGTTGTTGCTCAACTTGCTTTGACACTTCTTCAGAGCCTTCAATCAGCTTCTCTGGTTTCTCCTTGCTTGGCTCTATTGTTTCCGTTAGGTCTTGTACAGTTGGTTCAGAAGTTTTCGTTATTTCCTTTGTTGTAATGGTTGTGATAGTGCTTTGTGATTCCGTACTAAGTGGTTCTTCTTTTATGGTTTTAGTTACTTTAGTTACTGTCTCCTGGAAAGGCGCAAGTGGTGCTGTGTAAAGTGGCTCTAATTCGGATACTTCCTTAACAGTGTTTCGCGGTGCAGGCTCTAGCGTGGATTCTTGTTCAAGTTTAACAGTTGCTTGTTGTTTGGCAGCGGCTTCCGGCGTCGGATCTCTCTGAGCAGGGGATATAGTAGAAACTGCTTCCGTTACTTTAGTAATCTCTCCTCTTTCTTTTGGGATTTCCGCTATTTTTGTTATTTGCGTTGGCTGATCTGTCGGCTTATTCTTTTGTGGTTCATCAGGCTTCTCACTGATTACTGATTGGATCGTTTCTATAACATTCGCAACTTCTTTTCCCTCTGCAATTTCCTTGTCTCTCACAGTCTCCTTAGCTTTCACGACTAATTTCTTGTTTTGTGACTCATCTTTTGATACATCAGGTATCCGTTTGTTTGCTTCGGTTGTTTTTGAGGTAGTTATCGTTGTGACGGTTGTTGTTGTTGAACTGGACGCTGTGGTTGTTTCTTCTGGCTTCGGTTGTTCTTTAGGTAAATGCAGCCTTTCGTTCGCTATAAAGTTGGCCGTTGTGCTGCTTATAAATTTCTCCGTATCCTGCAGGAGGTTATCGACCTCAGTGGGCGATTGTTTTGATGGTTCTTCCATTCGCTGTTGAACTGCCATGCACTCGTCTTCAATAAAGTTTACTTGAGGTTTCTCTGGTTTCGCTGTTTGCAATGTTATTTCCTTGTTACTGCTTATCGTTGTTGTCGTTGTGATAGTTTTCGTTTCCTCAGCGTTTGACTTGGCAGACTTGATTAGACTCTTCACACCGCTGACAATAGCACCACCTGCCAGCACGGGGGCTGCAATGACACCCAGGGCACCCATTTTCGCAGCATCTTTAACATTCTGCAGTGTCTTGGATGGTTCCTTATTGGCTTTATCTGAAATTTCAGGAGTTTCCTTCATAGATTGAGTGGTGCTAGTTACTTGTAGCTCTTGTTTTCTTGTATCTGAGCTCATCACGACGGTTTGTGTGCGCTCTTCGACAATCACTGACTGATCGTTTGCATTTGGAACTAAAATTGGAGCCGTCTGCTCCGCTGTTTCGCCTGTTGTGGCTTTGGTCTCTCGCGTTATTTCTTCCTCGCGTAGTATACCTAACTCCTTAGCCTGCTCTAGGCTGCACACCTCACCAGTGTTTACATTCTGTACCTCATTATTGGATATGAGTACATAACCCTGCATAAGTTCAATCGTTTTAGTGGTCACCGTGTGCACCGCACGTATTGTTTCCATGACCTCTGTCTTGGGTATAGGTTTTTGATTGACAACAAAATCGGAAAGGGGCTTAATGATTAGCGCGCCATCCTCCAGTGCTTGTCGTAACGATAATCGCTCGCTAGTCACGGGGTGGGTAAAGGTTTGTGCAGCCACATCGATAAGACCGCGCTCCAGCGCAGGTACAACTTCAATAGCATCCGCTTTGGGCGGGTATGGTATGGACATGATGAAGTCCTCATTGATAGCCTGCTTAATGGGAAGTGGTTTCTTGGTTTTAGGATGCAGTACAACAGACTTTGTGGGCTCCACAAGACTCTTCTCTACAGCAACTGGGAATATCATCCCCACGGGTGGTATTTCTACCTTGACCTTTTGCTTATCATAGCTCGCGTCGAACAGATGAGCTTCGATCGCTTCAGAAATGCTTAGAGTTTTATTTTTATAGTTAAATGTGGATTCATCCGGATTGATAATGCCCTTTTCAATGGCTTGTTCTAAGGTACACTTTGTTGGTTTATGTAGTTTGGAATGTGGGTCAAGTACTTCACAAATAATGGCTTCATGAATACTCAAGGGATAACCACTTTCGGGGTGTACAATAGTCTGTGACTGTGGATCAATAAGACCTTGTGATTCAAGTTTTGGTATGGACAGACTCTTGGCCAGGGGCATAAGAATATGATTTGTTTGCTCCGGATCAATTATCTTTTGCTCGACAGCCTGTCGCAGATTGAGCACACGATTACGCTGTGGATCCGTCACGTTACCGCGGCGTCCGTCAATTAAACCAGTATTCAACGCTTCAGTTATATTTATAACTTCTCCTTGGGGAGTTGTAAAGTTTCGGGTATCCTCAAGTATTTGACAGGTCTCCTCATCAAGAATGCCTTTCCGTAGAGCATCCCGCGGCTTTAATATGACTTTGCGCATCTTCTGCAACACTACAACCTTATCCTCTGTTGTTGAAGTGGTTGTTGTTGGCTCATAATCAAAGGAACGCCCGCGTTGCAGCTGATCACGTGATACAATACCACGCTCATAGGCCACCTCAACAGGTATCTGCTCACCGGTTCGTGGATCCACTACAAAGCGAACTGTGCGCAAAGCACCCTCGGCAGCTACAAGTGGGGCACCTACCACGCTGAACAAACCCAGTTTCGTAGCCGTAATCAAATCAATCGGCTGTCCCTCGGCATCAAGTATCGTCGCTGTGCGTGGATCATAAATTGATCTCGCAATGGCTTCTGTGACCGAAATCTGTTGCTTAGTTGTGGGATCCACGATTTTGATAAGTTGCTCGTCAACTAGGCCCTGTTGCGCGGCATCAAAAATGTTCTCTGTTTCTCCGTTTTGTGTGAATATGACGAGCCCTGTAGACGGATCGTAAATGGCACCTGGTGCTATTTGCAGTGGTTCCGGTGATGCCAATTCACGCTGACATGTGTTCACTTCTACGAATCGTGGTGGAGCATCCTTCAATGGCGTCGATACCTCCAACACATCGGGCATGTTGTTTACTCGTGTTATGCGCAAAATAGTCTTCTGACTGGCACCACGCGTCGCCGGTACCGTCTCTAGTATAATTTTACCTTCCGAGATAGCGCTGCGCATGCCCAGAACTTGTTGCCTATTATTTGTATAGTTGCCATAGCTGTCCAAGATGTCACGCTCAAAAGCTGATTTTACAGATATTTTATCTCCAGTGTTAGGTTCGATAACAGCTACGGATAAATTGTTAATAATCTGCTTATCTATGCACTCCTCGAAGTTTACCAGACGATCAGTGCCCTGAACATGGAACACACCTGTGTCTGGGTTGAATAGACGCTGCTCAATCGCATCCTTTAGGCGCCAGCCACCAGGCGGCAGCTCCATAATCTGACGCTCTGTCACATTCTGTTCCAAATAGCTGCTCTTCTCCAGATTAATGAACTCTGAAACAACGCGTTGTGGTTTGACTAACTCCTGAGAAATTGGTATTTCAACTGACTTTTCAACATATTTTGTATGTTGGGTGTTGAGTTTGATAGGCTCTGCTTCCGGTATAATTTGTTTTGTGACTATTGTTATAGTTGATTTGGTCTTTTTACGATTTGTGGGCTCCGGCACCGTTTGATTACTATCGGGTACAAGAAGCCCATAGTTGAGCGCCTGCTGTACAGAGTAAACATTACCCGTTTTGGGATCTTTAAATAGTTGTCTATCCTCATCAATGAAACCCTGACGCACTGCCTCGGTAAAGGTCAATAAAACTGTATCACCTGGCTCCTGAGAGCCGGCACGTATGGTCACATACCGATTGATCGTCCTAGTCACAGTCTCTGTGGTCAACGTAATGTTAAGCAGGCTGCTCAACAGTAAAGCACCCTCGGGTGTGATGAACTTTCGCTCAATGGCGTTGTCCAGAGGCACTGTTTCACCAGTCTTAGGGTCGAGCAAATACCCAGTCTTCGGGTCAATCAGATTGTGATAGACCAAGTCGAATACGCTAAGCTCCTTACCACTGGCATTGTGCACACCAATACCGCGACTAAACATTTCATAAACCTCCTGCCGCACCAGACCCTCACCGACGGCCACCTCTAGTGGAACTAGACTATCCCGACCTGTCTCTAAGGCAAAGCCCGTGCTCTTGCGACGTAAAATATCACGCGAGAGGGCCACATTAAAGCTAACATAATCATTGCTACGCAAATCTTTGAATCCATCGATATCAAAAATGGAACGCTGCGATACCGAACTGATCAGGCCACGTTCTACAGCCTCGGGTATGCTAATTAGCTCCCCAGTCATGAAATCACGATATTTACACTCCGCTGGCAACACAATGCCATCTGCAATAGCTTCCTGCAATGTGATTAGCTCACCCTTACGTTTCGTTATGCACTTGAGGTGGTTGCCATCTAAGACACCTGCTTCGATGGCCTGCATAATGCTTAATTTTTCGCGACGCATGGGACTTGTGATCAGAGACTGTTTGTCGAGCAAATTTAAATCACATATATCTTTTAGAGTATACGGCTTAACAATCAATTGACGATTACGTGCCTCCAAAAAGCTAAGCTTTTCTTTGGTTACCTCGTTTAGATAGCGACCGGTCTTAGCATTCAAAACGCCCGATTTTAATGCGTCTTCTAGTGTTATTTTTACATCGCGTTTAGCATCGACTACTTCGCGCACACTCGCATCAATTAGCTGATTGGCAATAGCCGAATCCAAACGGAACTTATCACCAGAATTGCGATCGACAATCCAGCCAGCATTATCCACCAGGCCATGGGCAATGGCATCACTCAAACACAGCGCATTCGATTTAATTGTCACCGATTCGTGCCGTATCAGATAGCCACGTTCGTACGCCTCGGCCAGGCTGATTGTTTGGCCCGATTTGACACGATACAGGCCGGTCTTGGCATCCACACTGCCAGCACAAATGGCATCGACAATATTTCTAGGTTTCTCGGGGGACGCCACATCCAATGGGGATTGCGTTGGCAATGGCAACTGCTCTACTGTGACTGTGTTGTTTACCTTGATGCGTTTCTCCGCCGTTTCATAGCCGGATTCCGCTTCGCTTATCTCTCGCTGTATCACCTCCAGCAATGAGAGTTCACGTCCGGTCGCATCTCGTCCTGCACCTGGCTGTAGCAACTGTATCGCCAGCTGTGCATCGATCAGACCCTGTTCAGCGGCCTGTTCAAGTGATATGCGACGCTCACCCACAAGCATTTCACCAGTGCGAACGTCCAGAATGCGCAACTGTATGGCTTCGCCAATGGTAAGAACGCGTCCTGTGCGCGGATCACGTATGCCGGCAATATCGAGCACAGAGGTAATATTACCTCCCCGCTTAAGGCTACGTATCTCATTGAATTGTATTTGCGACTGTGGAGTAACTCCTGATTCTTTTCCAGCGGCATCTATGCCATCGCTGCTGTATATGCTTTTTGAAGAGCTTTTCGTTGTTTTCGTTGAGCTGAATCTACAAAATCGGAAACAATTGATGTAAGAAAAGTGTAATCTAATTTGATTTTTGCTCTAATATCTTCATATTAAAATTTACGTTTTTTGCTAAGTGTATTTAATTGAAATTTATGGGAATTTCACTTACTGTGTTGTGCTATATGTTGTTGTATAGAGATCATCCGGGCGTGCAGCATAGCCATCGCCAGTTGGCACGCTGCCCGCACTGAAGTCAACTCTAAAGGTCTTGAGCGGTTTCTGCAGACTTTCAGCGTATTGCTAAACCAGTCAAGAAAAAAGAAAAAAATGCTCATTAGCCAAAAATGAAAAACAAAAGTTGCGTATTTAAAATTTTCACTTGAGAGAAAGAGAGAGAGAGATTGTTGGGGATTGTTGTGGTAATTTTTGGGGGAGATTGGGGATTGCATTACCTGAAACTCGAACGCGAAGTCATAGTCACTTTCCTCTGCCACGTGGACAGTTGTGGTTTGGGATTTGGTTTTAGTTTGGGCCACTTTGCGACCCGATCTATGCTGAGGCATGTCTAAATCTTGCGTTTCTTTCAATTTGACATAGTCATAGCCAGCACTGGTAGGTATAGGCACTTGATTTAATTCTGACGTTTCTTCAATGCACTGCGAGATTTATAATAAATTAAAAAGCGAACGAATTCACGCACATATTTTCGTCTTCAAAACTTGTATCTACTCATTACTATTTCCTGCGACTGTATCCGTGCATGTGTGTGTTTGCAAATGTTTTATGACAGTTATAAATGTGTTGCGATAAGAGCCTAAGTTAAAAGCCAAAACGTTGTAGACCAAACAAAAAGAGTGAAGAAAACCTACTAGCAAAATAATTCTAGAGACTTTAACTATGGTTGGGTTTCAAGTCGGTGGCATAGATCTTTAACAGTTTTTATTTAAGGAAATAAAAAATTAAATCAGATATATGATTTAAAAGCCTTTTAATTTAGGCAGTAAATTAGAAATTATCGTCAATCAAATATAAACTAAAAGAGTGCAAACACGTGAGCTTGAGGAACTTAAAATGTTATATTTCTAGCATATCAACAGAATTAAATTTAATTTTTTTAAGACTAAGATATTTTTGCCTAGCACCTCTCTCTACTGCAGGTCGATACATAAACATAAACTGGAGCCCTTGGGTCTGCCTAAAAATCAGCTAACTTGTGGAATTCATTTTCATTCACCAAAAATCAAAACAAAATAAATAACATTTAGAATTCCGGCATTTGATGACTTATCAGTGCTCTTAAACCATTAAGTATTGTATTTATCAACTAACCATACCAAAGCGCACACCATATCACACACACACAAACTTAAGCATTAAGTCAGACACAGAAAGCAAAAGCAAGCCTTTGTGAAAATAGAAATGACGCTATTATTGAGGGCCACACACACAGTCAGACAGATATACAAATACGAGCGTACTGCAATAAATACCCGGTAGATATAGAGTGCCGAGTATATGGTTATAACTCTCAAAGTGATTTACTTCGACTCGGGTGATTACCCTTCCCGAGTAGTGCATAATTAAGTTTTATCTTTGTTTGCATTAAGCAAATACAACAAGGCCAGCATTGATACATGACAGAGTGCCAGGAAAATGGTATATCTGATATCTCAACATATGGTCATATGTACGTTCAAGCTACGAAGCAGCAGCCACGCGAAATTAGATTTATTCAGCAAGACAAATACCAGATTCACTTTCAGATGTGAAATATGCGTGGGTTGACCGATAGTAAAATGTTCACAAAGTTGGAAAATTGATGAGCCATGCATTGGATAAATTAATTATTGTAATTCAAGTTTAAAGAATCTTTTAATTTAGTAAATGAACATCATAAAATCATCAATAGATGTTACGATTCAAACTTTATAACTAATCGCAGTACCCTTAGGTAGAGTATGAAGCGAATTTAAAATTCAATTGACTGTCAGACGTGAAGAAATAAACAGAATTGTATTTGCCCCAATTTATTTTATCAGCAACCACAATATACAACTTGCTAATGGAGTTGCYTTACTTTAAAGTCTGTTCGGCAATAAAAAATTAAAAAAACAAAAAAAATAAAATAAAATAAAAAAAATTCTTAATTCTTAATTTGCGCTGCCGCAATCACTTTTTCTTTCTCTTTTCTCACTGCTCATTATTCAAAACGGCTGTCGAAGGTCGCCCTAGAGTTAGTAGCGGCAGCAAATAAATTATAATTAACAAAAATGCAAAAAGCAAAAATATATATACGAATAAAAAAAAAAAATAGCAAACACATTAAGAGCGTATAAGCACACACACACACATTGAGAAGCGAACACAAACAATGATGTCATCCGTAATTTCTATATAATCTAAAACAAGTTTGCCGTGCGCCCACAACAAAAAAACAAAACGCACACATACACACACCATAACACAATAACAGCAGTTAAATGAAACTGAGAGCTCCTGCAAAAAGTAGGCCTTAAGTTGCCCTCGCTCCGCTCTTGTGTTGGTATGAGATTTGCGCTTGACACGCTTTAAGAAGCTTTGCCGGCTAAACGACGAGCTTTCCGGCTGCAACACGCTGCATACCGGACGCCGCACGCTGCACAACTAAAATAGGCGGCGTCACGATGCTTTTCGAGAGATGTCGCATTCGCTTTCGTTTGGTTTTTCTTCTAATTTAATAGATCACATACACACACACGAATAACAACTAAAAATACTTGCTTGTGTGTGTGTATGTGTTTAAGGCGGCGGCCAAAATTTTTCTGTCTAGTTTAATCGATAAAGAGCAGCGTAATGCATGTGTGAGAAATGCAGAAAAAAAAAACCAAGCGCAATGACATATGAAAAGTTGAACGAAAATGTAACAACAAACAGAAAAGCGCGAGAAAATGAAAACCAAACAAACAGAAAACACATAAAATATGATAAAAGAAGAAATATAATAAAAGTCCTAAAAATAGAATAATACGTAGGTGACATATTTTGTATATGTTTTAGCCATCCAACTAGATTCTGTAGCCTAGGTCAAAAATATAAAATGAAGTGAAGTGAATAAAGGCTGTAAATCACCAAATCATTATCATGAGAAACATATGAAAGTGAAAATAATTTGCCAAGAATGAAACTATACGAAAGAAATCTGAAAACGGAGTCTCTGAAACTATTGAAAATGAATCTAAAACCCCGACTCGAAACTAAAAGTACCATAAAAACATTTGCTACTTTGAAATGAGTGTCAATTTAGTAATTAACAATAAATAATTCTACTAATCGAAAAAATGTTTATGTTTATTCTATGCGTAGGCAAAGAAGGAAGTGTCTTTAAAAAAAAGAGTTATGATACTCTAACAGATTTATCAATGCAACTGAATTTAATCAGAGAATAATTAAATTGTGTTTGTGCAAAATATAAATGTATACAAATTTGAAAACACAGAAAACTAATACGCTCCATCGCCCTGCGTTCGCGCAGAGTATATTGATAATCAAAAGTATATAAATTTGTTAAAATCTGACTGCAACATATTAGATGGAGAAATTACAATTTTATTTAAAAACTCTTGATTAGATTAGGCCTTCAGTTCTGGCTTGCTGACAGACAGCGCTGATGGCAGTCATTGATAGTCGTTGTCAGATGTCACTAACTTAGGATGAGTGTGCATGTCTCTCTATATATGTGTATATATGTATATATAAATATATGTGTGTGTGTGTTTTACATGTGCGTGTGTAGGTCAGTTGACTAGTCTAATGGATCTAGTTAAGCGCAACACTGTTAAATACACTTTTTTATAGCCGTTTCGAAATTGTTTTTGGGGCAATTTTCTTTTAACAAGCTCTGGACTCGTGCAATTTGTGTTGCCTCATTAAAAATACAACTCCCTCAAAATAAACCAATTTGTTGTTCGTTTTGTCTGCCTTCATTAGCACTCAAATAAATATAGAGTAAGTGTATGTCCACATGTGTATTTAACAAAAAAAAAAAAAAAACATGGATTCTTGCGACATGTTCAAGGCTATATGAATATTGCATATGTTATTTCTTGGTTTTATTTTATGTATTTTGTTATATTTTTTGTTTTCTTCATCTTTTATTTTCAGTTTCACACTTCGAATTCTAGGCAATATTTTGCTCTTCTATTCAAATTTTATTTTTATTTTTTATTTGGCACTGTGAATGACTTCATTTTCTGAATTCGTATTTGGCTCTCGTGTGGGCCGCAGAACTTTATATAAAATATTTAAATTTCTATTAAACAAATAAAATCGGGCCAGAGACGTGAATGTCGAGTATTCAATTAAAGGCACGCACACAGCTAAACTAACACAGATACAATCGCACTTTCTATTTGTATGTGACAACGCGGCGTATGAGCATTGCCGCGCCGGCCCTATACGTGATTTATTCTTCTATTATTATTTTATTTTTCGTTGCTTTTTGGGTTAGGGTATTCTGTTGGGGTTTTGCTTACACGCTTCAAATATGTGCAAAAAATAAATGAGATATTTGTAATTCAAATGAATTTATTCAACTTAAAGGGCAACCTTATTTAGGTTTTTTAGCCTTTGTTCACGCAAACACACACAGCGAAACACATACGCGCACACACAAAAAACTTCTTATTTGTTTAAGACACGCGTCGCACGCGTTCAGTTTTACGTCGTTATACAACCACGTCGCATTTGATACTGAACGGAACTCACAGCCGTAGTTCATACGGCCCATGAGAGCGGCCAGAGCTTTTTAAATTATTGTGCTAGAGCGCGAGCTTTTGCAGAGAGCAGCCAAATATGCCGGCTATGCGCTCATCAGCTGTTGCTCTTTCCGGCTGATTATCAACTAAAATCCATTTACAATTGCCTATTTGATTCCTAAGCGGTCAAAATGTTGCAAACAATACACGGAAGTTCGCGTTCCAATGAAAACAACGTGGTCGAACAATGTTATTTGCCTACCGTTGATAGTTTGTTGTTCTTTTTCTTTTCTTTGTTGTTTTTGGGGCCTATGAGATAGCTAAGACTGAAAATTTCGGTTGTTTTCGATTTTTGGTAAGAAGAAATAAATAAGAACAGATGCCGACAAACGACAACTGATCAAATGGAAAGATACCCTGGGGACAGATTTTAAATATATTTTCTTATACACTAATGAATTTCGTAAAAACTTTTTAAAAATATATGCAAGCCTTTAGTTATAAGAGTTTTGATGAGTGTAAAAATAAAATTAACTTTTTGAGCCGTACACAAATGTGCAACATTTTGACATCATAGTTAAATCCATAGCAGCTCTACAGGGTATTTACATAAATACAAACAAAATAACAAAAGGGAAAACCAGTTTGCTGTGTAGTCAAATGGTGAAGCTAACCTTCTAAATAGCAAAATGCTCATTCACTCCACTTAATGCCAAGCTTGGCCGCCCATGTTATGCATATCAAGTTAAGCCTTAGACATAAACCCCAAAGCTGGCAATGAAGTTGTCTAACACATATATATGTATATAGCTATGCCTAGTAGCATTTCATGATGTCACTCTCAGTCAAGAGCAACACCTTTAAGAACACAATGGACATACATATTTAGAGTATAGATTCTTAGGTAAAAGTGCTAATTTTGTTAAGGGCCCTGCGAATACCTCAATATGAGTGTGAGCTCATGACAACACCGATATCAATACTTGATCGGTTGCTGACCCACACAACTAACGAAGTGGGGAAACAGTCCTTTCTCTATCTCCACTCATTAAATGTTAATTGCAAATTAAATATTTACACAACTCTGCAAACATGGGCAATATTTGAGTATGCTAAAATAGAAGAGAAACACACACCAAAACGAGTTGAATTTTATTTTAATTTTCTGTTTTTGAACTCTGTGGTAAAATTAATTTTTTAATTGAATTTCTGGACGCATAAATAAAAAAAACCAGTTGCCAAAAATAGTCTACGAGCAACAGAAAAAATATTTAAAAGAAACAAAATCTAAAGAATTGACAGTTGAAATAATTAATGCGACAAAATGTCAACAATGAACTGTTGATGACGTTGTTTGGCATTGAATTTCCTACAAGCGAAGATTAGGTATCCGAAAAATATGCGAAATATGTTTATAATATATTCATATTGACATCATGTTATAAACAGAATTCTTAATTGCTAAGTTGACTTCATTTGCCTAATTGGTCTGCAAAAACAAAAAATAATAATAAAAAAAAAAACTAACTTCTTATATACGACACATAGAGGTAAAACTTTATATAGATAAACTCGTATATCTTCTAAGTGCAATTTGCACATTAGACAAATGATTGTCACGCGCATAAAAAAGATATAAAACGAAATAAAATAATTTACTTTTATAAAAAAAAATAGTTTAACATTTAGATAAATTAATCAAATGGTGATTTATGGGACAACATTTCAAACTCTGACAACGCAACGGAATCGCGCTCTGATGTCATTATTTTGCGCGTAAGTATGTGTATGTGTGTGGGTCTATCTAATTTGAAGGTTAATTTAATAATAGCATTGCATAAGGCTAGCAAAAAGATACAAAGATACAGATACAAATACAAAGTGCGCTAGAATTGGAAGAGTATTCATTGAAACCGAAAGTAGTCTCAATGTTGTACTTGAGGCTAAGATGCTGTAGATAAATATGATATCAGCTAGCAGTTACAATTAAACTGTACAGTTGTTTTTGTTTCTTTTAATAATAGTTAAAACTGAAATTACTTTATGATTTTTAGAAGTCTATCTATGAGACAATCAGTTTATCTGGAAAATAATTACAATATGTATCTGGAAACTATTTCATCGTTTAATATATTAGCAATAGACTAAGAATACATTTAATTTTGAGACGATAGATGCAAAAGACTATTGATAGATCTCATATTAACAATGTACCTATATCATCTGTAAATCATACATAAAATAATTACATACAGCTCTTGAGCCGAAGAAGCTTAATATTCGCCCCTGTTATGTAGATAATTTGTATAATGTGATAGAAAATATCACTTATGTTCACAATGAATATACCTTGAGAGTTCGATAACTTGTACGCCACTTAAGCCATAGATACTGACACTTAAGCACCTCTTGTTGTAATTAAACAAATATTTTGCTACCGAGCAAGTGCTTGGATACTTTGCTAAGGTTACGTCATTAAAATTTCGTTACCTATAATTATAGATACTTTTTCAGTCATTGTACGACAATTGACGTTTGTATCTAAATTTAACACTTGGCATCAGGAGTTGTGCAGCTCACGCTCACTATCTCTCTCTTTCTCTCTCTCTCTCAGTCTCTCTGTTTCTTTTTCTCTCAGTGATCATGTAGATACTCACCAGACCATCGCTGCCGTTCACCTCGATTGCAGTTTTTAGCCTCTGGGACAACTGTTCCAGCAATCTGTCGTATTTCGTATTTAGATTATCCAAACGCTGGCTGTAATACTGTGTGGCACCTGGATCACTGTCAGCCGGGCGCAGATCGCGACGCGGCGGCGAGAACGAGGGGCGAGCCTCGAGCAACCAATCCACGAAACGCAGACATTTACTATCGTAAATCTGAGTCCGTAACAACCGGTGACGTCACAAATGTTGATCGCGTTGATGACGTTGATTTTGTTGTTGTCCGCAGCATTTTGGGTTAATTTTTCGGTTAAATGTTAGTATTTTGCTCGTGTTAAACAATAGTTTAAGAGGGGTTTGTGTGGGGGTAAATATTGTTGTTCTAGTCATATATTTAGTGCTTTTTATTTCATTGATTAATCAATACGAAATTACGTTGATTACAATTGCTTTTTAATTGTTTGTTGTGTGAGTTTGGTTTGCTGTTTGTTTATAGTTGGTTGTTGTTGTTGTGTTTGTCAATATTATTGTTGTTGTTGTTGTTGTTGTGTTTGTTGTTTAACCCAAGTGTTATTGACGCACCTTGTACCCGTAGTTTTAAACTACTCGCAATCGCGCGCTTCACAAACGAAGCACCGAAATTTCTCATATGTTTTTTAAAAAGCATTAAATATTGAAAGTTTCGTATAGAGTAAAGATATAGCAAATACAATAGACGAAAATTGTTGAGGGTAGGCGAAGGAAATAGGTAACTCAACGTATAGAATATTGAATCACATAGTTGATATACAAATTTCGAAAATTGTTCACAATCACACGCACAATCACACAGAAGAAAAGGGTAAAGGTAAACGGAGTAGATATCTAGCACGGGGCAGGCGCTATAGATTGCTCTTTATTTATTTATATGATATTATATAGTCTCCAAAAAATGTTTATATGGAAGGGCATGGAAGTAAAAAAAATTTAAATATTAAATTCTAATATATGTACATATGTATGTATTCTGTTTTATTTGGTCTATATGAGATCTGAAGTCAATTGTAAGTTAACTTTTTGGATTTATATAAAAAATAATTAGATTTCTACTGAAAAATTACTAAATCGTTAGAGTACCAAAAACCTAAGACTATATAGTTTATAAAACTTAGGTAAAGCTCAAATAGAAACTGACATTATAACATCCTTTCAGTAGAAAAGTTTTTCAGAGCAAATCTATATCAAATGCCGTATGCTTAATATAATATATATAATATATCGAGTTTTCAGCCATACAAACGACAGTCATTCAAAATTTTTACCTTAGCTTCGCGAATTAGACGTCCTCCAGCCACGTTGACATTTTCGATTTTTGGTTTTCGTTCGATAGCAGCTCCGAGCAGTTTCTATATATACATATATATTTATATATATATACATTTGCGAGGGAGGTTTGGTAGCAATTTGTGGATTTTTTTTTTTTTTTTTTTCATTTTGGTATTTTTTGTAAAAATTGATTGATTGAGTTTTTGTTGTTTCATTGTGTTTGTGTTTTGTTTTTTATAGAATGTAATATTGATTTTGGTTTTTGATATTGGGTGAAAATACAAGAAATTAGACAAAAATACATATACAATTAGTTTTCAACTACAAATACGAATAAGACTACAATAATGATATGATGTGTAGATGAAATCGTAATGACATATGTATATGTAGATGGTACAAAACTACAGATATATAACATTTACTTATAACAATAATAATATATTCAGAAATGTACTGTGTACACACGAATTGGGATATACGAATGGGTGTATTCGAGAGTTTGGGGTGTGTAGGGACATCATACAATTGGTGTGAATGTATGAAGTGTATATATACATATAATACATAGCTGTGTGGAGGTATGTGTGTGTGTGTATTTGGCTGCCTGACAACAGAGCAGCTTGCTACGGTTTTTATTTGTTTTTTGATTAGACAAAAACTACGAAATATTGAGAGTCTGGGGGACAAGTTACAGCAAGAATTTACAGGGTATGTTGTTTGAAGGTACATTTTACAAATTGAAATATACATTTGATTCTCTACTACATATAAAACACACAGACATTGAAAATATGTCCAACACCAATGTTTTGACCCATAAATAAATTGGAATATATTTAAATGTTTATTAGGCAAAACTACTTTTTGGGCAGAGGAGTTTGGGGACGTAGCACTGATTAAGCAAAAAATAGGTAACTACCCTTTTCAATTCAAATTGACTATTAAATATATATACATCATAAAAATATTATCAATAAATTTATATATACTTTGTGTTGCTTGAAAAGATATAGCCCTAAAGGGGAATTGAATGATCTCACTAAATAGCTGAGAGGTATAACTATACAATATTGGGTATATGCTAAATATATATAGAGAAAAGTTCATATATTCACTATAAACTAACTGATCAGAACTGATTAACGATTAATATGTAAAAATGATATAAGTATATATTAAACGAGCGCTACTCACGTCTAATTCGTAAGCTGAAGTTGCTGTGGGCATGGCCGACAGACGTTCGGTGGTGCCGTCCACCCATGACTCCTCGACTTGCACGCTCGATTGGAGATTCTTCATAAGTCCAATCGCCGTCTCGCATGAGCGCATTCTGAAAAAGCCAGGTGTGAAGAGGTGAATAGGTGAATAATGTATATGGAAGCATATATGGGGACTTTAATGAAGCATAGCACACAGGTTCCACCAGCCGACAGGTGATTTGGCTTGTCTTTATTCATATTCATATTCAGCATTGGATGATTGAGACATGACTTTGATCGACAACGATTCGCTTGATCATCTATTCAGTTCTTCGGACAACTGAATAGTTTCAGGAAATGTTAATTATAGCAAGCATTTCGTATAACCCATTCCATTGAAGTTATTCTATACAATTCAAACTCTCACCTCTCGCCCAATTGATTGCAAACCGCACTCCAGCGCGTGTTCAAACGCTCCACGTTCGAGTGCAGACGCTTCAGATCGCCCAACACCTTGGTGGGCACGCCCATGCGTCCCAGTTGATCAGCTGCATCGTTCATCTTATCCATTTGCGGCTGCTGTTGCGTGATTATGTCCTGCATGTGGGTCAATTGCTTGAACACATGCTGCAGTCCTTCTGCTGTGGAGGGCAAGTCCTGGTGCTTGGCCAGCTCATTCTCTAGCTCGGATATGACATGTTCGTTGTCCTCGAGTCCAGCCAGCGAAGCTTCCAGCAGCTTCAAGCGATCCTTGTGCAGGTTGCTCTGTGTGTTCAGCTCCTTCCACAGCTCATTCAGGTTATCCAGCGATTTCTTTAGCACAGGCGTCTTCAAAGCTATCGTGCGGAAGGTCTCCTGCAAGTGCTTTAGCTCCGGTTCAAGCAGATGCAGACGGCGCTCATAGTCGCCATGTATGGCAAGCACATGTTCCAGCGAATCCAAATCACGTGGCAGTGGAGCCAAAATAATCTGATCTAGCTCACGAGCCATATCCTCCAATTTGCTCTTGATGGCAATGCATTCCTCCGTGAAGATGCGACTCGCCTGTTTGCTCTCCTCTGCAAATGAATGACGGAATTAAAACAAGGATTAGATTGAGTGTTTTTTGTGAAGATTACCGCGCTGCTTGGCACTAGCGAAAAGTTTCTTCATGTTGTGTTACGTTTGATTTGTGACTTGAGACTAAGTTGTGCGCTTCCTGGTCGAAGCTTCGGTGCAAATCAAGCGCACATTAAATTCAATTCAATTAAGCGCTTAATTGGACGCCAGAGTCAAAAGTTGACAGCTGGCCAAACGCCGTCAATTGAAAGGCGACTTGTCGACCGACGCCCACGCCCTTTTCCCACTTGTAAAACGCCCACCAACTCACCTTCGGCTCGGGCGCGCTTCTCAAACTCATCGAACAAACGATTGACCTCGTCCATTTCGCGGCGCAAGCGTCGCAGCTGTGGATCATTGGGATCGCCCTCGCTGAGCAGCTTATCAGCATCATCGTTCAACGCACGCCGTATGGCCGTTCGCTGCTCGGGACCCATGGCCAGGAACTGATCGAAGTCCCAGCCCTTGACCACACGAATCGTGGCAAAGATCATGTTCTGGCGCAAGCGCAAATGTTTCTTCTGCCACAGCGCAACGGAGCGGTCGAAGAGACGCTTTAAACGTTCGGCAGCATCGATGGCCTCCTGATCGGGTGGCGGCAACAACAAACAGGCTCCGGGTATGGAACCCTCCTGTCCCTTAGCCGTACGCACTCGCCACTTGACACGGCCCGAGTTATCCAGCAATGTGACCGTCTCGCCCTTCTCAATCTGCAGTTGACCCTGTTGTTTGTAGGCGCAGATCGCTTGGACCGGACCCTGCCTATTCACCGGCTGCCTGCGCTTGTTGAGCGGCACAATCGTCTGAGCACGACGCTGAAGCGTGGCAACGGTCTCGCCGAACGCATTCAGCTCCTCACGCAGATCCTGCATGCCGCGCAACAGAGCTTCACCCTGATCCAAGCCGAAATCGGACTGCGAGTATTTACTGTTGAGTATCTCATCGCGCTTACTGAGCCATTGTTCGGCATCCTTGATCTCGGCAAAGTACTGATGGTATTCCGTTGCATGCTTCAGATGCACCTCCAAGCAGAGTGTAAGCTGTAGCAGCCACGCCCACTGCTGTTGTAGAGCCGTCAAATGGGCCTCGATGCACTTGGATGCCGGATGCTGCTGATTGAGCAGCGCCTCGCCACGATCCAAGATTGTGGCAAAGTGCATCTCACGCTTCTCCAGTTCGGACATTAAGTTCTGTGAAGATTTAAGGACGGCAATATTAGTAAAGCATATAAATAGAATAAAGGGAGTGCACTTGGTTGGTTGCCTTCAATTTTTTCTTTCATTTCGAGGCTATTTAAAACCGATCTTACCTCGTCGCCATTACCAAATGCACGCTTGGAATTAGATAAAGCACAATACACATATAAACAACATCAACAACGACTATCAACGGCTTGCCGAAGATTTAAGGAATAGTAGATAGATAAAAAGGGGTGAGTAATACGATGGTAAAAGAAGACTAATAAAAATATTTCCATTAAATAAATGATAAAGTTTCCACTTCAAGAAGAGTACCATAATAATGATAAAGAGTCGGACTAGAATATTTGCCCAAATGGAAAAAAGTACATCAAAGTAATTATAAAAGTATGCGGACAACTCATGCATGGAACACTCCCTCAGGCATGCTCGTGTCTGCTTCACATAGATAAATATTGATCTCACATTGATCATATAGCTATACTACTTACCTCATAGTATCTGTGCACAGAAGGCAAATCGAGTTGTTTGTCCGCCCAGTCGCGTGTGATCTCGACCTGCTCCTTCTCGTTGAGCCATTGAAGTTCAGCTGAGGCCTGTCCAAGGAAGTGCTGAAGTGAATCCAAATCGGATAGACGCTTCGTGGAGGTGCTTAGCAGCTCTGCATAGACCTTCTGCAGCTGATTGAGTCGCTGCTGGTAGAGGTTCAATTCATCGCCCGAGAACTTCGTCTGCTGGCGCTCATCGTTCAATATTTTGCTATGGAACTGATCAATGATTTTGTGTTCGTGCTGTTGACGATCCAGTTCCTCCTTGACAGATGGCAGATCACTGCCATAGTCAGCGGCAAGCAATTGTTTCTAGAATCACAACAGAAATTAGGGGTTAGCTATAAACTTTTAATATTTGTAATGGTTCTGACTCACCAATTTATTCTGGCACCACTCAATGTGCTCCTGCAGATCGCGGAAATGTGGATTCGTATCGATCTGTCGTGATTCGACCACCATGCGCGTTTGACGCGTCACGGTCGTCTCGTGGACGGGAAACTTTAAGCCGGACAGCTTCTGTACCAAGTTCGTATGGAAATTGGTGCGGAGTTGAGCCCAGCGCTGATGCAATTTGTTGACCTTCTTGTGCAGCTCGCTGACATGGGGATAGCGACCCTCGTTGAGCACGTGGCAGTCCTGGTTCATATCCTGTAAGGGCTCCTCCAGATGCCTGATGTCTGTTTCGAGGGCCTCAACAATACTCTTGGCATCTACGGGATGCAAACGCTCTATGCGCCTGCTCTCCTCTGAGATGCGCGTCTCTAGCTCGGTCAGCTTGTGATCTACATGCTTGATTTCGCGTTGCACTTTATCGGCGAGACGCTGTAAGCGCTCCAAGCGCTCGATTTCCTGCTGTAGAATAACTTCACGATCCTGCAAGGCTGTGGTCATACGATACCAGGCCTTTTCAATGGCATCCGGACGCAGATCTGCCTCCACATCCACTTCACCCACTGTTTCGAAGTAACGCTCTAGCTCCTTATAGATCTGAATGAGCTTGGATTTGTCGCGTTTTCGTGCGGTCACCTCCTCGCTACGGAAGCGCTGCAGATCGCTCAGCAGACGCTTCATCTCAATCAGCGTGGGCGGGAACGAACGCTCCTGCAAATAGGCGGTCTTCTCCCGACACCAATAGATGAACTGTTGTGCCAAATCACGATACTCGTGCACCCGACGTTGTGACTCCATGTCGAACAGGGGGTGAATGGATGGCGGCTCCGGGAATACATCGTACAGAGATGAAATGTACGTTATCAGGGATTTCTCATCCGGCTCATTGGTGTCCACATCTAAGAATACAAATTAAGCAGATTTTAGTATTACAATTTATTTCTAATTAATTAATAATAATCGTCACTCACCCTCTGGGTCCAATAGACGCGTAACACCGTATTCTTTCTCCACAATATGGAATGCCGTCTCGAGGCGTTCGCGCGGCCGATCGTTCCTTGCCTTTCGCCAGTCAAGCAAGTCCGGTCGGTTGCGATGCACCAACGCCGAGAAGGCCAATCCATCGCGCCACGACGATGTAAAATCATTGACACGAACGCCCGGATACCGAGCCGTCGAGCGTCGCGCCCAGCGCAGTAGGGCCTCACGTGCGGATACGTTGTCCTCTTTGCCAACAACAATATCGGAAATCTGAATTAAATTTAAATTAAATTAGATATTGATGATCCAAGTTCAAATTGAAATTGATTCATGATTATGCTTCTTATGTGTCGAATGTAAATGGAGCAAATGTTCCTAAAGTGATTTATCACAAATACCTGGAAAGAAAACCTAAATGGTTTCTTTGCGTATAAATAGATAGATATATTATTGAGTCATCAACTCTTCATTCTCACATTATAATAATTTTGTATTGTGAGTATTTCCCTCCCCTTCGAATATCATCCTAGCCCTTGTTTTACCTCTCTGCGCTGCATGCTACTCGACTCAATGGCCGGCGGGATCGCGCGTCGATACTCCAACTCGGAGCTACGTATCATCTTAGCAGGCGGCAGCAAGTCCTCCGCCGGTTGTTGATTCTCCTCGGCGCGACTCAGCGTGGTCACCTTACGCACTATGTGCGTGGTCACACGTCGATGTCCATTCGGAGCGCGTTGCGATGTTTTGGTACTCTCTACGCTGGAGCCAAGCACCTCCGTGGAGATGCGCTTGTTGCGCGTCACCTGCTGATAGCTGCCGGTGGGAGCACCACTCGAGGGTACCAGGGCGCGACTGCTATCCGATATACGCCTCATGCTGCTTCTACCGCCATCCACTGCATCCTGGAACGTGACGATGCGCTCAATGTTCGAGCGCTCGTGTGGCACAGTCCCAAACGGCGCCACACCCGGATAGTCGGTGATGACTGCCTCGACAGTGCGCTCCCGTTTCGTTTCGTGGCGATAGCGCAGATTGGAGTCATCGATATTGGTCGTTATGGCTGGTCCACGGCTGGTGTGCACCACTTCGCTGCCGCTGCTTACGTGGGGTGGACCACCATTCGTTTGCCGCACCAGCTGCTGAGTGCGCTTCAGAGTCGACTGTGAGCTGGAGCTGGAGTGCATGATTTCGATTTCGCCTCCAGCCTGTTATCGTTATCGTTGTCGTTATCGAGATATCGTTGATTTATTATTATATCGTTTTGTTTTCTTTTCCTCACTTGACTTTCTTTCGTTTTGATTTTCGTTTCGTTTTCTCTTGTGTCTCTTACTCTCTCAGCTCTTGATTCGTAATTCTATTTTTGTGCGTGATTTCAAACAAATGATTATAATTCGTTTAAACTTCCTACACCAACCGCCCCACCGCATTTCTCGTGCTTACAGACAATTGAGTTGCCGGCACCGCAATTTGCGTTTAATTAAGTCAAAAGCCGGCCAAAACCAGCCCCGCCACCGGCACCGGCATTGGCACCGGATGTCTTGTTCTGAGTCAGTGCGAAATACCCAGCCAAAAGGCACCCACAGAGTCGAGGGCTTCGCCCCACAGCGGTGCTCAACTTGTTATTGTTGTTGCTACCGCTGATGAGCGAATTATTTATGTCTTGTACATACACATAATTAGCCAGCCAACCAACTAGAGATTGCCCGTCCAATTGTCTAACTGTCTTTGGGAATTTTATTACTATGCCTTTAGGTAAAGTATATAGTGCTATAGATAGAATGTGTAACGAGCAAATGGAATAAAAACACGATGCATTGGTTTACAAAATATCTGTGCACCTATTCATATGCATAATATATATATAATAAATTTATCCTAAACCTGTCCAATTCATGCATATAAGAGACATAAGAGACATAAGAGAAAGTGTTGTTCAAAGACCAGAAAATATATCATCAGATCTCAAGATATATAATTTATCTCTTGATTTTGTAGTTCGGGATAAAAAGCAGCAATATTTTCCTAACTTTCTGTTTTCACAAATCAGTTAAATTAAAAAATATACATCCCAATACTAGGTTTGTAATCATGTACATTAAACTAAGGTGCTTAGTGCATCTGCTAGTCGTTATGCCAAATGTAATTTATTTATTATAAATATTTCTCTTCATATATTTATGCGCACGAAAAAAAGAGTAACAACAACCATAACTAAAAGTTCATGTGCACGGAACGAGCGAAGCCGCGGGGCACAAATCACGACAACAACAATACAGCTAATTGTGAAGCTAGAAAGGGAATGATTTTGCAAAGGAACGTATTGGGATGGAACACGGATGAATTCACTCTCTCGATGGCTAACAAGCTGTTCCACAAATTCCATAGAGAACTGTATTTGAAGCTATTCACATAATGTGTATAACGGTTTGGATAAGATATGTATCAAATGTCTATCAAATTTAGAGACGAGATATTTCGATTGCTTAAAAAAATAAATATTGATATAGACTTTTAAATAATAACTGAGTTTATGCATTCGATTTGTTTGTTATTATTTCAATTAGCTTGACAGTCGCTTTGCTTAAAAGCGATGATAAGCAAGGCCATCAGATATGATATGAATTTGGAACTACTATGAAACCCCGAATCTAATCATTATAGCTCAAGATCAAGCAAGAACAACAACGACAACGACAACAATAACAGCAATAAGTTGTTTGGCCAAAATGAGCACCCACCCGTTATCTACCATTGAAAGGCGACGCCTGCGCAAATGCGTGACATGGCGGTCGACAGCTCCTCCTCCCATACAGACACACGTACACACACACATTCACACTCACACAGATCAACAAAAAATGCTAATTGCAACATTATTAAAAGCAAAATAAAATAAAAATGCTGCAGTTGAATGAAGTGATTTTTGTTTTGTTTTTGGCTTTAAGTGTCTGCGGAGGCGACACTAAGAGGCGTTAATGGCTTGACATTTTGAATGGAGCCGCAGTCGCAGCAGCAGCTGTTGTTCTCTATATAACCAAGTAGCTCTTGCCTATTTTGGCTGCTGGCTACTGTTTGAAGTTGACGACTTTAGACAATATTTGCATTGGCTTTGCAATGACAGCACATAAATTCAAATCGGGCAAATCATAAAATAAACAGCCCAAACAAAAAGCACAAAATATTTTAAACATTTATTTTTGCTAAAATGAGCTGAAGCGGAACAGAAGAGGGAGATGCCATATGTCTGGGCACGTCATTATTTTTACTGCTATTGCAGCAACACTTTATTACACTCACACACACACACACAACAGACAAACACTTGAAAAAATGAATTCGTCTTATGAAGCACACTTAATTGAAACAAAATTGAACTCAATTGCATTCAGATTGAAATCAATTGATATAGGCGGCATTTAATAAATCAAAAATAACGATACTGCAGCAGGCGCATTAATAAATCGAGACAGACACAAAGATTGAGACGCGGTCAGCTCGAGGGGGCTTTTACGAGCCGCTTGCCAGATATAAATCCCATATGGAAATTGAAATTGAAGCTCGGCGCGTTCTCTGACATCATGCAAAAAGAGTTTTAACTTGTCTTGTCTTGTTTTTTGTTTTGTTTGCATATTGTTGTKGGTGTTGTTTGTTTTTTTTTATGTTATTTGTTTTATTTATGTGTGTATTTTAAGCATTATTATATTGGCTTTGTCTTGCACTTGTTTATGATTTTATTTATATATATTTTAATTTACTTGGCAGATACATACTGCTAAATCAAATTAAAAGTATACACATATATTTAAAGGCATATACATTTCAATTTTATTTAACATCATGACTATCTATTTAGTTAATCTTAAAGCATATCTCAAACATGTTTATTACTTTTCAATATGTTTGAAAAGATATGTGTGTCGTCAATTTTCTTCGATAGATGTCTGTCATTGTTAAATTAAATTATTTTTATGGTTTTACTTTTTTATGTTTTATTTAAATTTCTTTATATTTTTTTAATTATTGCATATTATTTTATCCTCACGTAGTTTTTTTTTTATACCCTGAACCCATTTTCAATGGGAAATCAGGGTATAATGGTTTTGTTGAAATGTATGTAACAGGGAGAAGGAGGCGTGGCAGACCCCACAAAGTATATATATTCATGATCAGGGTGACGAGCTGAGTTGATTTGGCCCTGTCCGTCTGTCTGTCCGTCTGTCCGTCTGTCCGTCTGTCCGTCTGTCCGTATGTATGAACGCGTCGATTTCAGAAGATATAAGAGCTAGAGACTTCAAATTTTTTTTAAAATGTCCGTAATTACAGCGCGCATATCAAGTTTATCATTAAAANTTTTTTTTTTTTTTTTTTTTATTTAAACTTTTCTTTTCAAATTCAATTTTTTTTTATTTATCTTTTTTTAATATATTTTCTTTCTTTTAATCTGGAGCACGCGAATGTTTACAATTAATATACATATTAAATCATAGAAAAAATTGCGGCAAGGCACATGACAATATTAGTTTAGATTGCTATCGTTCTACGTTTAGCTGGACATAGGCATTTTACGACTTATAGATGGTATTACAATGTACAATTGTATTTATATCTCTCTCTATATATATGTACGTTAAAGATACATGCGACGGGGGGCACTAACAACGAATGTGTGCGGCGGCTCAACAACGACTAAACGCGATCGGACCAAGTTAAAACGCTTAAAGTGTTGCTCATGCCAGGTGTTTACGGTTGACGCCGTCGCTGCTGGCAGCGCTGCTAGCGTCTGTTGTGGCGAGAATAGAAAAAGCAGCAACAAAATACGCATTTGAGACGAAATGGAATTGGCACAAGAAAAACGCAAACCGGCGTTGGCGTTCCAAAGGCAAAGCTTGAACAAAAATAGTTTAATTCGGAATTGGACCTGAAATTGCGATCGTGCTGACAGCTGTGCGTGTGTGTGTGCGACCGTTGACGCCAACGTCGGCGTCGACGTCGCTGCCAGCAGACAACCCCGTTATGGATTGCTGACTTCGAGCTCAGCGCTCCTACCACATGACGTATGTATATTACAACAACAACAGCTACACCTGTGTGTGCATGTGTTTAAAAGAGTGTGTGTGTGTGGTTGGCGGTCATAGCAACCAACGCCTACGTCAACGCAGCGCCACAAGAACAGCAACTACAACAACAACAACAACTGCCAACGCAGAACAACAAMAAATATGCAAAATGAAGGTTACAATAGCAAAGAGTAAAGTAAAGCTTCAAAATGC